CTGCTGCAGAGTTGTGGGGCCAGACGAAGAGGTGTAGGTCAGTACTGGGGGGCTGGTGCTCCCGACCCGCCCGAGGGTCCAGGTTTGGGCTGGGACTTCATATGCTGTACACTGGCCAGGATTTTCTTCTGGTGTCCCGCCAGAGTGACTCCAATTCGGAGCAGGTCCCTGGTGAAGAACGGAGAGCTAGTTGAGGCCATAGAGCTCCCAGAGCGACTCTCCTGGTTTAGTTCCAGAAACCTGGTCACTGGGACTGTCAGCCAATCAGGAAAGACAGCGGGGGAGGGGCACACATCATAGTTGCCGGGCAGTTTCCGGAGGATTTAGGAGCCAGGGCTCCCTGCTTCTACGCAGCCGCAGTAGGGGGTGGGGTTAGGTATTCTGCAGGCCTGGGCCCAGGGGGCGGGGTCAAGAGGCGGGAGGTGGGGGCTGCGGCTTGGATGGATGCTCCAGCAAGGATTAAGAAAGAGGATCAGAGAAGGGGAGGAACAAAAGAGATAGCCCCACAAAATGAGGGTGGGGGAAGGGGCTGCACAGATTGCTTTAAAGAAGGAGAAATCAGAAGGAAAAGGCCCGAAAGAGGAAGGGCTGGGTGGAGAGGAAGGGGAGGGAAGAGGGAAAAACAAACTGCCTTCCCCCTCCATCCTGAGGCCTGGAGACTGAGATAAGGAAAAAAAGAAGAGGTAGGAAATGGGGAGCAAGAACCTGCGTCAAGGTGAGGCTAAAACAAGTTTGGGAGGAGAGTACCCAGGCCCACTCCCAGATACTCAGGTTCCAGATTTCTATTCCTTCTATTTGTTATTCAAATCTGGGGCCAGAATAGTCCTTGAGAGAGAAATGGGCAGGCAGAAAGGAGATATACCAGAGAGATGTAAACTAGGAAAGAACTATTTGGGAAGCACTGGAACCATAAAACCATTTAACATTAAAGCTGGAAAGGTTCTCCAAAACCTAGTTCAATCTTCTCCTTTTATGGGTGGAAAAACATCCAGAGTTGACACATTGTTAATGTGAGAGCGGGGTCTGGAATGCAGATAGATGCCCCAAGATAGATACAGATTGCCAGGCAGGGAGTGAGATGGACCAGGGCTGAGATGGTGCAAGGGGGTGAGGGGGACACAGCTGGCCGGGAAGATTCCCTGGGCTCTTGGCCCCAGCAGCTATTATTGCTTTGGGGTAAGTGCTCTAGAAAACAACTGGCACCAAGAGTTGATCCCAAAGGCCCCTGCTGACCCCGTGGGCCTGATTCTGGTCCCCAGGTGTCCCTATGACTGCTTAGCTCTAACCCCCACCTCCAGCTTTTGCCACGACTTACTCAGCAGAGATCTGGCTGACCAGCTCGAAGGAGCCAAACCCAGCAGCTGCAAAACTTTCTTCGTATCTTCCCATCTTGATGGCTCGAAGCCACTCACCCACAGAGCCAAAAGCTGAATAGTGAGGCTGTCGCTGATCCAGGAGTGGGTGTGAGGCCCTGGGAGGCAAGGATAGGAAAGATGTACTGAGGACCAGGGCTGTGTCAGGGTGGGGACACTGAGCCCAGCCTTGGAGAGGCAGATGGGGACAATCCCACACCAAAGGGACAGACACTTTTTCGGGGGAAGGCAAGTTCTCAGGGGGATGACCAAGTGCAGGAAGGAGGGCCCAGTCTCAGGGGTCCTCACCCGCCGTTTTCCCTGGCTACGATTTTGAGGCTGGCAGGGTTCCGGATCATCTTGTCAAGGGCGCTAACCACCTGGGGGAAGCGGGGCCGTGCATTCCTGTCCTTCTGCCAACAGTCCAGCATGAGCTGATGTAGGGAGGTGGGGCAGTCTGGGGGAGGGGGCAGCCGGTAGTCCTGTTCAATGGCATTGATCACCTGGAATGACAGAAGCAATGGATGAGGATGTCCAGGGAGAATGAGGATGCCAAAGGGCCCCAAAGAAATGGCAACTTTGCAGATGCCAGGATGGGTGCTACAGCCCCTCACTGCGGCAAATATGGAGGTCTTCCTAACCGGGGCTGAGGCTGGCTGTAGCTCAATGCCCCAGCAGCTTCTTGGGCTCTGATCCAGATGTGTAACCTCCCAATCCTGCCCTCTATCCCTGTGTCCTTCTGTGCCTAGACATGTTGTATCAAACTCTTGGGTACAAAGATCAACACTGTGCCACCTTCATCATCTCAAGCAGTGATGAGCTCTCATGGAACCCTACCCTTACCCCACATCCCAGGTGAGGCCATTCCAAGAAAGCTTGGTAGGGCTGTGGGACACTTACATCCTGATTGCTCATATCCCAGTATGGCCGTTCTCCAAATGACATGACCTCCCACATCACAATACCATAGCTCCAGGCATCACTGGCAGATGTGAACTTCCTGAAAGCAATGGCCTCAGGGGCTGTCCATCGGATTGGAATCTTTCCTCCCTACAGATGAAGAAAGTAAAGATGAACTGAGGATCTCACAGGACCCAGGATCTCTGCTCCCAGCCTTCTCTTTTCCTCCTAACTCAGGCCTCCTTTCTTTCTGGGGCCCAAGCACTCAGCTCTCCAACTCTTTTCCTCGACACCTGAAAGTTGGGTTCCCAAAGCTGACCACCCAATCCGTGGTCTGCTCCTACATCCTGTCCCTGGATCAGAGCTGTCAACCCCCCAGCCTCCCACCTTTCCAACCTTTCCTTTCCACCTGGCCGTAAGAACCTAGTTCCTATGTCAGTTCCCCAGCCTCACCAGAGAGCTTGTGTAGGTAGGGTCAGAAGAGTTCTCCTCCAGGAATCGGGAAAGGCCAAAGTCAGAAACCTTGCAGACAAGGTTGCTATTGACCAGGATGTTGCGGGCAGCCAGGTCTCGGTGGACGTAGCTCATTTCAGCAAGGTACCGCATGCCCGAGGCAATGCCCCGTAACATGCCCACCAACTGGATGACAGTGAACTGTCCGTCATTCAGCTGGAGACCAGAAAAGGGAGAGGGGCATAGTTAGGACAGCTCACCCTCCATTCTCCCATCCTTCCACATTCTAAACTGTATTTGGCACTTTCAGACCCATCTCACACTCACCTGTAAAGCAGGTCTACAGACTTTCCAGGTAAACTCTCCTCTTTTATCTTACCCCGAGTTCTCTGAGCTCTTACTGCGCTATCATGACATAATGCAATACTTATAAGTGGTTCCTATTTCAAATATATGCATTCGTTCTCTGTTAATTAGATTGTAAGAAGAGATTTAAATTTTTTCTTCCATTTAACCTAATATGGTGCTTTACATCTGGGAAATACTTAACAAATGCTTTTGATTTAATATGTTCTTTTTATTTATCAGCAACAGAGTTATGACAACAGTGTTCTCTGCACTGTCTACAGGTAGACACTCATTTGTGCTGATCTAGCCAAAAATCCCACTCAGCCCTCTTGGACCAACTGAGAGAACAGTGAAGAATTAGGATATGATCAGCGACCACAGCGCCAAAACCAAGGTCTAAATCCCAACCTTGGCCTTTATAGTTTGCTCTTACCGGGTAAGCCAACCAGTTATAGATGGTTAACTAATCCCATCTTCTAGATTCAGCTAGCATGCAGGGAACCCTTGGCATCTCTGCAGGGCCAGGAACAGAGTCCAAAAAATGAATTCTGAATCCATCTTCCAAGCCTACACTTATCCCAGACCTCAAATCACAGTTCATGGAAACACCTCTTGCCCGATACTCAGGGTATAGACCTCAGAGCCTCCATGATTCCTTCCTTTCTCTTCCTCACCTGCCACTTATAATCCATCAGCAAGTTCTACTGGCCCTGCTTCCAAAACCTATCCCAAATCCAACCATTTCTCTGCACCTCACTGCAACCCTAGCAACCTGAATGATTTCAAGTCTCCTCATTGGTTTCCTTTTGTTCTTGCTCCCCAGCACCCACCAAAGGAATCTCCTGAACCACCTCACACTCCTACTAAAATCCTTCCAAAGGCTTCCCCTGGAACTTCCAATCAAACTCAAATTCTGGACAAAGGCCACAAGGCCTGGCCACCATCTACATCAGGGTACACCATGGGTCCTCTGCTCCCTGGGTTTAGCCTCACCGGCCTTTCTGCTTCTTGAACCTGCTGAGTTCCTGCCCACTCTGGTCTCTCCTCTCTGCCCTCAGCACACTTCTCCTCCACCATCTTCTCAAGGCTGGCTCCTTCCAATCTACTCAAATGTCATCTCTTGTAAAATAGACCCCCTTTCCCCTTCCTGCTACTAGATCTCAGTCTGGTACCAATGGAACAGACTCCCGTGCCCACAGGGAGGGTCAGGCCATCATCACACTATTCCAGGTCAACCTTAGCATCACTCATGGTGGGAGCCGGATGGCCTGTGTCTCCTCATGGGGTGTTAACTTCACAGCACCCCCAATATAGGCTGGCCAACTAGGTTTACTTTTGAACATGTCACAATATTATACATAGCTTCTCTTATAGGAAATACAGAGAAATGAGCTAAACGACCCCACAGAGAAGAATCTGATAAATCCACAAGATGAGATAACCAAGGGAACAAATAGCCCAGTTCTTCAACATGCCATGGTCATGACAAGGGACTGTCCTGGATTTAGAAGAGGTTCAAAAACAATAACCACCAGGACAATGCTTGATCACAAAACTGCATGATGGTTTGGATAAACCAACAGTAAGGGACATTTTGGGGACAACTGGGGAAATGTGGATATTGACTTGATATTAGAGGATACCAGAGTTGTTGTAACTTTATTAAATGCAATATTATTTTGTTATGTAGGAAAATGTTTTGAATTTTTAAAAAATGCACTGTGAAATTAACAGAATAATAATTCAATAAAACCTGTTACGGTAACAAAAATAAGCTATTCCCCATCATCTCTAGCCATTATTCCATGATCTTATTTATTTTTCACATCTGAAACTACTTTACTTTTTATAAAAGCTTATTTACTTGTTAATTTTCAGTCTCCCCCATTACACTATCAGTTTCCCAAGAGCAGAGATGTTCATGGCTTTATTCCTGAGGCCTAGGACAGTGGCTGGTGCTCAAGAGGAACTGAGAAAATTTTGTCAAAAAGACAAATGATGATCCCTTATATACTAGGGTCAACTGCCTCACAGACAAGCCAATTCCACCTATGGCCTAAGGAAGAGGCACTCCCAAAGGCTCAACCTTTCCTGAAGGGAGAATGAAGGGCAGGGGGCAAATGATGTGGGATGCACCATCTGTCCCGGGTTCTGAACTCCTTGACTGCACTGGGGGGTGCATGAGAGGATGCAGGAGGCTGGAGGGAGCGGGACTCACCCGCAAGAAGGAGTCCAGGGCACCATTCTCCATGAACTCAGTGAGGATCATGACAGGCACGCTGTTGGTGACCACGCCCTCCAATCGGATGATGTTGGGGTGCTCAAACTGGCCCATGATGGAGGCCTCACTCAGGAACTCCCGCCGCTGCCGCTCCGTGTAACCACCCTTCAGGGTCTTGATGGCCACACAGCTCTCCTTCTTCCCTGGGGCCTTGAGTCGCCCCCGGCACACCTCCCCAAACTCGCCTTTAGAAAGGATGCAAAGGGTCAGCTCTCCTTGGCTTGATCTGGCCTGGCCTTCCCTCCCTATCCCATTCTCCTCTGGGGTAACCAGGCATCTTTCCTCTCACCTGCGCCAATCACCTCTTCAATCTTGACATAAGAGACATCAATCTCTTTTGCGAATTCCCTCACAGCCTCATTAGGGTCTTCGTAAGTGAAAGGGTCAATGTAGACCTTAGTACCTGAGGAATCATGCAGGGCCCGTTAGCAGAGTAACTTCCCCTGCACTCAGAAGCCCTTAGCTCACAGCCTTGGCTCACATCCTTGCCCCAGCCCTGTTTCCTTCAGGATAGGCCTACCCACCATGCCCGATGAGATACTGTCCATGTTTGTCTGAATATTCAGCTTCTCTTCCACTGCTCTGCTTCCTATAGACAATGGGGAAGAAAAGGTAAACTGAGTCACTTATATGTTCCCAAAGAGACAGGATGGAAGAGAGAAGCAGGGACCAGAGAAGATTCAAAGTGGAAATGGGCTCCTGGGACATTGAGGGAGGCTTGCCCTGGAGCAAGAGGGCAGGTGGCCATCTAAAGGGGTTTCACAGGGGCCTGTAGGTGCACCGAGCCCTCACCTGAGGCAGAGAACACCGATGATGATGACCACCAGGACCAGCACCACGCCCACGACTGCAGTGCCTGCAATCAGAGCCAGCTGCTCCCGCCAACTCTCATTCTCTGGGGTAGAAAAAACATGATCAGGAGAACCTGATGACCCCTGGGGGCCCTGCACCAGCCTTATGAATGTGAGCTGTGGTTCCCCTGAGAAAAGTGTGACAGGTGGAGTAGGACGAAGGAGAGGCAGGTTTTGGGAAGCACAGTTTTTCAAACTGCTTTCTACAGGCCTGTGGGTCCCTCCAGAGCCCCCCAGAAAAAGGAATAAAGTTTCCCAGCCTTATTACTGCTAGAGAGGGTTGGATTTTGTTCTGTTATAAATACTGGTGACCACAAAAAGTCCCATGTGAATGAAAGTTTCCAAAGGCTAAATAAAAATGAAAGGGTTTATAGCCCCAAAGTGGAAACAACTCCAAGGTTCAGTGGTGGATAAATAAAACATGCTATGGCCATACAATGAAACATTTTTCAGCTATAAAAGAAATGAATACATGCTACATGCTAAAACTGGATGAACCTTGAAAACATCAGATCAAGTGAAAGAAACCAGTCACAAAAGACTTATTGTATGATTGATTCCATTTGTATGAAATGTCTGGAATAGGCAAATTCATAGACAGGAAGTAGATTCGTTTTTGCCAGGGGCTGGGGGGTGATGGAAGGGGTATAGGGTCTCTTTTGGGGGTGCTGAAATGTTCTAGAATTAACTGTGGTGATGGTTGTACAACTCCATGACTACACTAAAAGCCAATAAAATGTACACTTTAAATAGGTGAACTACATGGCATATAAATCATATCTCAAAACTTTAAAAAAGTTTTAAAGTTTAGAAAACCACTGGGCCAGCATATTACAACTAAGAGGTGTCACCTCATTTGATCCTTGGAGCCCCATAAGAGACGCCTCATATTTCCTCTTGTTTTTTTTGATGAGAAAGCTGGGGCTCAGGGGTCACGTTTTTGCTAAAGGTCACATGGCTAGCTGAAAGGCCGCTGAGCGGGTCTTCACACCCAGCTGTTGGTTTGGGTTTCTATGCTCTCCTCACCAGGCCAAAGTGCCTTTAAGGTGAAAGAGGAACACGGGGGTATGACTTTGAGGGTCCTTCTGCGGCAGCACCCCCGCCCATGCCCTGCTCCCCAGGCTCACCATCTAGCTGAGTCTGGCTATGATGCTCCTGGCCGAAGGGTCCATAGCCAGCCTCAGAGCGCGCCCGCACCTGGACCAGGTAGCTGGCTCCTCGCTTCAGCCCCCGCAGCTCTGCCCGGTTTTCTGATGTCTTCAGGAACCGCACACTGCTAGGTCCTTCTGCACCCTGTCCAGGAGCAGGAGGGGCTGGACATAAGTTCAGGTTCCCAATTTCTGATGTTCTTCCCACCTCTCCCTGCCCCGCCCCCCATCACTAGCATCTCGGGCCTGCTGTGTAGCAGGTGAGGTCTTGTGCTCACTTACATGCACTGGGTCAAGTGTTTTGCATTCATTTTCTCATTTAATCCCTGCATCAATTCTGTGGGTTTAGCACCATTATCACAACTATTTTACAGATGAGGATACTGAGCTCAGAGATGCCAAAGGGCTAGTTGAAGGTCACTCAGCTAGTTAAGTAGCAGAGCTGAAATTCAAGTGCCTGCAATTCAGGCGTCCTGCCCTCGGGGCAGGTCCCACTGCCCATCCCTACCCTCGGGACAGGGCCTGGTCTCACCTTCTCATGGTACTTGACCTCATAGTCCAGCACTGCTCCACTGTGTGCTTGGGGGACCGCCCAAGCCAGGCTCAAGCTGCTGGGTGATGACCGTGTCACCCGGATGTCAGACACTGGGGGCGGCACTGAGAGAGACGGGACACGTTGGGGCTCTGCCACATGGCAGGTCTGTCCCTTACCTTTCCCAGTTCTTCTGTTGGCTATACTTGTCTCGGTCTTCCAGCTGTTTCAAGAATTCCTCCAGGCTCTCTCTGCCCCATCCTCAACTCTCCAGACTACTTTTGAATCTTTTTAACTATCTTTCTGCCTTTTTCCACCAAAGCCTGACTCTCCGTACCTCCTAGGGACCCCACTCCACAGCCTCTGCCTTTATTTTCCTTTAGGCCTCACTGACCTCTCCCACCAACATCTCTCCCATCCGATCACAGGCTGTCCCCAGCCCTCAGTCTCACCTTCACGGTCAGTGGTGACATTCACAGCCTCAAATGAGACTGGCCCGCTGGCTAAGGAGGATACCCCATTTAAAGCAGTGACCTCGAAGGTATAGGTGAAGTCAGGACGAAGCCCACGAATTGCCACCCAGGACTCCACCAGGTCCCGGGGGCCAGGGTCGAAAGTTAGGTCTCCTCCGCAGGGTGTGCAGGAACCCCCAGGACGGCACTCCCGGCAGCGAAGTGCGTAGGTGAGGTCCTCCCGGCCACCTGACTCAAGCGGGGCACTCCACTCCAGGCGCAGGGAGGAGCCGTTCAGGCGGGGAACTACGCTTCTCGGAGCTGATGGAGGGGCTGAGGGAGACCAGGGAGTCAGACAGAGGCTAAGCAGATTCGAGGGGTGGGCAGTGGGAAAGATAAGCAGCCACAATGACTTGGCTGGGCACCAGCAGGCCAGGGTCAAGAGAAGGAAGGCCTGGGAGGATGGGGGCTAAGGTGGGGATCCACCTGAGGGGTCACTGGTCACTTACTCGTGCAGGGTGCACTCCGAGGGTCTGTGCGGGCCCGGAAATACCCGACGCGGCATTGGCAGATAGGCGAGCCAATGGTGTTAGAGTGGCTGTTGGCTGGGCACGGCTGGCAGGGTCCCTCCCCAGACAAGGGCTTGAAGGTGCCCTGGGCACAGGCTGAGAAAGAGAAGACATTCACCAAAACATTCATCAAAAACATGCAACTGCTCTTAAGGTTGCATGAAGTGCACAGGGGGAAAACAGGGCAGAAGGAGCTCAGAAACCTCACCTCTAAGAGGACGAGACCTCCAGATTAGGGATTAACCCTGACCTCACTGCCCCACAGATCCCTGCTCAGAATGACTTTAAATGCACACCACAAAACATACAGGATTACAAAGGAAACCAGATTAAAATATGAAGAAAAATTTGTGACATAGAAACTCATGCATTTCTTTATTAGCAAGATATAGCAGCTGATCTAACAGCCACCATAATACTGACATGGTGAGGAACAAACACAGCATTTGACATTCTTACATCATCTATTATAATGTGAAAATACCCAGGAATAGACAAGAATGAAGACCCTGACGCCTTTGTCCTCTAAGTCTAACAAGGTCTCCCACACCTGAGGAAAGTCCTGCCTCCCTGCAGTCTCCCATGTCCTGAAAAGAGCGGACGTAGTTAGGAGGAAGAGTGTGGAAGTGACGAAGGGCTCAGAACTAATGCTGGGGGGTAGGAGGAGGGAGGAGGGATGAAAACAGGAGCAAGAGCTCCAGGAACTGAGTGCCCAGAATAGCAAAGAATGTTCGAAATAGAAATTTAAGAAGTGGGTCCAAGAGCAGGGTATGGGACCTTCCCCACATGGATGGCCAATGCTCTATCAGGGACATGCCAGCCCTCACCTCGGCACCTGGTATTCCCCTCGGCAGCCTCAAACCCAGGAGTACAGCTGCAGCCAGTTACTGGCTGTTCGGCCCACTGTCCATCCTCCCGGCAGTAGAGGCTGGGACTGGGGCCAGGAGCAGGGACGGCATCGGCCACGCAGCTTCCTGCCACAGGTACCACAAGTTCACGAGGAACAGTCTCCGGGAAGCGGGTGAGGTTCACGGTCAGCTGGGCACACTTTTTGTAGAAGAGGTGCAGGGACAGCAGGGCCATGCAGGCGCCCTGGTCCTGGAAAGCCAGGTAGAAGCCAGCCTTGGTGAGTGGGCCCAGACGCAAAGTCTTGACATTCACCTTCCCGGTTGCCTCAGCCCCAGGGCGCTTTCGGGTCAGGTGCTCAGCAGCCACTGTGTCCACCTGCCAGGTTGGAGAAGAGACTCACTGCCGCTGTCCTCCACTCCCTAAGGACCCAGTAGACTGTCTTCTTCTACCTAGCTCGCCTTCTCCCTGACCTCCTGGGTTCCTGTTCCAGAACCTTCTCTCCACCTACACTGGTCCTGAAAGCTCCAACATTGTCCATGAATAGTTGCTGTGCTCCTACTATGTGTCTAGCCTCTGCCCTGCACACCCTTTCCGTTCATTCACTCGTCCTACAAATATTTATCAATATCTACTCTATGCCAGGCCCTGAATTCAGTGCTAAGGAAACAGAAATGAAAGAAACACAGACAAGTTATAAAGTATGATGAGTGTTATCACTGGTGGGACATCTCAGCAAAGGCATTCCAGAGGAGACCTCGGAGCTGGAACTTAGAAGAGTAGTAGAAGAGGGAGAGAGAAGGGATTCCAGGGTGAATGGTAGTAGGAGAAAGGAGGAAGTGTAAGGTGGCCCAAGTACAGTGGAGTAGAGTGATGGAGAAGACTCCCCCTGGGCGCCAGGTGGGCAGCCCAACTGCATGCTGCTGTTCCACCTAGCAGACTACCTTCTTCCTTCCTCAGACCTGAGGCTCCTGCTTTCAGCGTCCAGTACCCTGGGCCTTGGAAGTTCACTTCCATTGCCTCTAGACCACAGGACTGCCCCAGCCCCTGGAGCCTGGGTACCTTGATGTACGGGTTCTCCATCCAGGCTGGTGTGAGGGCTGTGGCCGTGTCAGTGTCGCTCTCGAAGTAAAAGACCGTAAAGGTCTCCTTGCAGGAGCGCCCGGCCCGAGGCAGGGACAGGCACTCCAGCATGGTGAAGCGCAATGTGGCGTATACGTGGACAGCGCCTTGCCGCGGGACCCAGCCTGTACGCAGCCAGTGGGCCAGGCCTGGGGCCCGCTGCATGTCACACACCTCATAAGTCCGAACGCTGTGCTGCTCCTCATCCAGGCCACTCAGCTCTTCCCACTGTGGGGAGAAGAGGATCAGTGTGGGGGCTGCTGAAGGGGTTGAAGGTCAGTGGGAGGGTATTTGTCATAAAACAGGAGGGACTAAGGAAGGAGACTTCTGAGAGCAAGAGCTCAGAGCATACTTGTTCCCACTGCTGTGATCTAACGGGCAGTTAAGCAGTTCAGCACTGGTGCCCCTCGTCCCTTCTCCCTCAGTTTCCCTCCTGAACCCCGGCTCCTGGGCCCAGCTCTTACCTGCCCGTCCACCTGAGGGAATGTTACCCACTTCAGATCAGCAGTTTCCAGTTTTGTGTTAGGTAGGGTCTCTAAGACAGACAGACAGACAGACAGATAGACACAGAGTCAATCAATGCTTGGGGGAGACATCAGGAAGACCAGATCCCTAGGAACAGAGACAGGGAAGTCCTCTTAGCTCTAAATTGGAGTTAAGCAGACAGAGAAAAGGGGAGAAGGAGAGTGAACCCTGGCCTCAGCTCCCACCATTTTTCGCCTCTTTTTCCGAATGCCAACCCCACCCTTAACAGCTGGCAGGCTTGAGTTGCCCTCTCGGGACTCCTAGATGAAGGCCTCCGTGAATCAATGTGCCCTGGAGGAGAGGGGGAGCCAGGCAAACAGCTTAGAAAGGATTAAACTAGAACCCTGACCCTGTGGTGAGTAAAGGGCTGATGGCATGAAGACACTCCTCCCTACAGGGCCTGGCTCAGACTCCACTTCCCCAATCTCAAAGTTGTTGCCTCCCTCCCCACAACTCTACTCCTCTTCCGAATCCTCACTTGCCTTTTGGGACACAACAGTTCAGGTCCTTCAGATCCTGGAATGTGGTGCTCAGCTCCTGAGGCCCAATTCTGATCCTCCCTCTCAGCTACCCACCCCTCCCGGGCTCACTGCTGTCAGAGGAGTAAATGCTGGAGGCCTGGACACTTGGGTTCCTTCCCGCCCTGGCTCCTGAGAGCAGAGGCCTCACATCTGGATTTGGTTATGGGAAGGAAAAGGGGAGGAGACTTTAAGGGTGTGTGTGTGTGTGTGTGTGTGTGTGTGTGTGTGTGCGCGCGTATGTGTGTGTGAACACACCTGGCTCTGCTTGGCCTAGGGGAGGGACCTCAGGGGAAGGGCAAGGCTCAGGAGGAAGTGGGGGATTAGAGGAAACTGCAAAGGCCCTGGCAGTGGAGGGTGGAGGGAGAGGAGAATCCCCTTGGAGGCCAGGGCAAGGTGGAGGGCCTGAAGGCCTGCCCTGGGAGGAAGAGAGTGGGGGCCCCTAAGTGAGCCAGCAGCATACCTGGGACCAGGCCCCCCTCTTCCCGTGGGGGCTGCAGAAGAGAAGGAAAGAGAGGTGAGTGGGGCAGCGTCGTCCCGGGGAACAAGTGATGTCTATAGAGGCAAAGGTGTGCGGTGGGAGGGGCCTGTCCTGTCCTAGGTGAAGCCCTAGCCCCCACGGGTGGCAGGAGACAGCCCAGCATGCTGGGGACAGGATGCCCGGGTTCTGGGAAGGGGGTGGATAGAGGCTGCCGTCTCCACCCTCCATTGTTCCAGCCTGGATAGTGTTTTCCTGTCTCCAATTTACACACTGTCTGTTTCAGGGCAGTCCCCTCTGCTGAGCGGCTCACTTTCTCTCACCCTATCTTGGTCTCTCCTCCTCTAGCTTTCTTTGATCTGTCAGCTCCCTTGCCTCTCACCTCTCTCCCCAGCTCTGTCTACCTCCATTTCTCTTTCTGACTGTCTCTCTCCTCCCTTTTGTCTCCTACCTTTTGCCTTCACTGGGGCACATGACCTTAGATAAATTATTTAACCCTTCCAAGCCTCAGGCTCCTCATCTGTAAAATGGGACAATTCCTCCCACTCCCAGGGCTGTGGAAACCAAAGCTCTCAGTAAGGGCCCGAGGCTTGGAAAGCACTTTGTTAACAGGAATAAGTAGTGATTCCTTCTTCATTTTTGCGTATTTCTTTCCCTCTCACGCCACTTTGGCCTAGTGGGTTTTCTCTCGGCTCTGCTTTCCTTTCTCACTCCTACAGTTCTTTCTCCTTTTTTCTCTGAGCTAGGCCAGTCTCCCCTCTCCCCACACCCAGCCTTTGATCCCCAGCACGGAGCAGCACTGCCCAGCCTGGGGGAGAGGGGTTTCTAACTGCCTTTGATTCCTCCTCCTCAGCAGCCCCCCAAAGATCCCTCCCCAGAGACCCCTTTGATTTCAGGCAGTGAAGAGGGGGAAGGAGGCAGTTCATTGAAAGGAGATTAGGGCTGTTAGGAGGAGGGTTTATAGGGCCCTTGGTTCCCCCTCTAGGGGGTAAGGAGAGGGATGAGACTAATGGATGAAGGAACGTTCGGGGGGGTGGGTGGGTATGGAAAAATTAGAAATTTAGAGACTAGGTGGTGGTGTTAGGCTGAGTTAGGGCGGCACAGGGCCTGCACGGGTCAGTTTCTGCTGGCCTGTAAGGTCGGAGGAAAGCCAGTTTGTCTAGGACTTGGGCAGGGCTGGGGTCTAAAGAGCATTTAAAGGGTTGGGGTGCAGCCTGGGGAAATCAGGAAGAGGGCTTCGCTGTTGCAGGGGCAGTGACTTTGGAAGAGATCTGGGGATTTGAAATGTGAGTGACACAAGGTGGCCATCCTAACAGAGGTGTGTGGCATTGCAAGATAAAGGTGTGAGTACTAAGGAATGAGGGGTGGGGGCAGTTTATGGCCTAGCACAAAGTTCTGCCTCGTCTGTGGTTGTTCCTCCAGAAAGTTTCCTCTTTTCTGTTTGGTGGAGATGGCAAGAAGGACAGAAACTCTGGAGTTTTGAAGATTGGAGTAGGGAGAAAAGGAGAGGATGCCAAGGGCGTCTGGAGTCAGGAGTGAGAGTTTGGGGAGTTGGGGCAGGGGAACGTCCCGGGACGGAGCCCGACTCCATCTCTCTCCCAAACAAAAGAAAACTCCAGTCCCTGCTGGGCCGCCTCCTCCCCGCCCCCCCCACCCGGCCTAACACTATTGGTTCGATAAGTTCTGGGCTGGGGTGCCGCTGGAAGGGTAGAGGGAGGTCGGCCCATCCACTCCGAGGCCCAATTCTGGGGACCAAGAGCGGCGGGATACCACCAAGGAAACTCACCTTCTAAAGCGGCTGCGAGCGAAGCCCAGCAGAGAAGGGTCCGGAGCTCCATGGCGCCGCCTTGCTCCGGTTAGATTCGATCTGAGTTTGGGGGGCGCTAGCCCCCCCAGCTCTGAACCCCTCCGACTGGGTAGACGCCGATTCCCCGCGTGGGACTCTCGGTTCGGGCCTCAGCGCGGGCCCATGCGGGCGCGCCCGGCACCGGGCAGCAGTGCTCAGGTGTGGCCCCGCGTCCTAGTAGCGCGCGAGGGCGGGAGGACTGGGGACGTCCTTGCAGGGGTCGCGTCGGGCGGGCGCAGAGCGAGACGTGGCCGGAGTCTGGGTCCCCTGGGGCCTCGGGGTCTCGCCCCGGCTGGGGGTGGGCCTGCCGCGCGCGGTCTCCACCCCCTCCCTGGACTGGCGCTGCTCGCGCCGCGGGTCCGAGTGCGCTCTGCTCCGGCGGGGAGGGTGGAAGCCGGAGCCGGGACAGAGCAAGAGGGAGGGAGACTTCGGAGCTGGGCCGGAGGCTGGGGCTGGGCGGGGCTAGGACTGGGCTGCGCAGCGCCTGGCCTGAGAGGGAGGGGCGCGCGGGGGGCGGTGGTAGCCGCCCCCCAGCCTGGGCTCCGTCAGGAGGTCGGGGCGCGCTGATTGGAGTGCGCGCTGCTGAATAATTCATGAGGGAAGCGGAGCTGAGCGCCAAGTGGAGGAGGTCGGGAAGTTAGGAGAAAGTTTGGAGAAGGAGAGGCATCAGGCACGGAACTCACCTACCGCCGAGACGTGCACAGTGGCTGTTCGCCCTGGCCAGGACCGCGGGTGTCCGGGCCAGGGCGCGGGGATCCCCGGGGCAGGCCCGAACCCGGCATACACTAGGGAGCAGAGAAGCACACCCAGTAGCGCCGGGGGCCGCATGGAAGTGCACATGATCCTCTTTAGGACTTTGGATTCTTCTGGGTGCGACCCCCTACTTGGCGCAGAGGACAGTGTTTTGGGGAAGCTTTAGAGGATGGAGGGTGACCAAGCGATCCCCGAGGCAGTGATCTCAGCTTAGATAACCCTAGAGCGAATGTTCACACAATCACTCAACAAAATATTAAGTATGGGGGACCTCCCATGTTCGCAGCTTGGCGCTGAAAAATGTGGGAAGAGAGTGAGACAACTGGGTTGAGATGGGGAATATAGAAAAGTATAGCAAGCAGGGGTAAGTAAAAGGTAGGGGTGTGTGTGTGTGTGTGTGTGTGTGTGTGAGAGAGAGAGAGAGAGAGAGAGAGAGAGAGAGAGAGAGAGAGAGAGAGAGAGAGTCAGTCCGGATGGATTCCCAAATCACCGTCCTCATTCTCACTGTCGCGTTTAGGAGGGCTCCGCGCCGCCCGCAGCCCTGACCTCTGCGGCTAGGGCTGGGGCCCAGGCTGCCGCTCTCTTCCTGAGGCTGTTTCCTGTCTGGCTCCTGGGGGCCCAAGGGATGACTGGGAGAGTCCTTCCTCTGATTGCCACCACCACCACCACCAACCACTCCCATCCCATCAGTTATAAGGGAGGGTCCGGGAAAGCAACCCGCTTCTATGTCAGGGTACCTAGCGGAGGTCATGGGGTGAATGGAGGGTTCTGCAAGAGTCCTCCAGTGGAAGAGCTGGGAGGAAAGGGCTGAGACTCAAAGTATTTGAGGAGGACAGAGTCTGGAGGAGTTGAGCCAATGGAGAGGGAAGGAGTCCCTGATGCCTGGGGGACTGCCAAGCGCCTCTAACCCCCTAGAGAGGACAGCCAGGCTGCAGTGACCTCTTGTCCCTGCTCACTTATCTTCCTGCCACAAAGTGGTTCTCCCCACACCCCTGCCCTTCCACGCTGCCCTGCCTGAGTTCTGCTCTGGATGGGGGTGGGGGGGTCACAGAGGGCAGGAAACAGCCGACTTGGCTGGAGCCAGGCAGACCAGGCAGGGGCTGGGAATACCCTTCCTCTCTCCCTGATCCGAGTCGTCTCCCTTCTCTTATTCGGCTTCTCTTCCAGGTTACATCCCACCTCCCTTTCCCTGCATTTGTTTTGCACTCAGATTCTCTCCTCTAAAACTATCTCTGGTGTTTCCTGGGCTCTGCTTGAATTTCTCATTTAGTGGTGGTGATGGGGGGGGGTGCATCATTATAGATGAATCATAATTCATCATATGGGGTGGAGGGGTACATGGCCTGAATGGCAGAGAGAGACCCAGATACACAGAGAAATCAGGTAGAGTGGAATAAGACACTGATAAGACAGTGGGGTAAAATAGTGTAATAGCTCACTGCAGATTTGAACCCTATATTTCTGACCCTTGAGGACCAGACTACCCTCAGCTAGAGAGAAGAAAGCATCTTCGGTGAGAAAATACCCAATAGATCCCATATCATTGAGTCCACATATCCCACCCCCACCTCTTCCAGCATATAATCCGTTTCCTAGTACATAGTGTATACTAATAAAAGAATGAATAAAATGAAACCTTTATTGAGCATCTACTATGTGCTGGGTAATCACTGTGCTAGTTTGCAAGATTTGTAAAACATGGCTCCTGGCCTCAAAGATTATAAACTGGTGGAAATCCCATTTCTTCTTTCCATGGAGATGATAGCTGAGATTTTCACTCCAATACTCAGGAATCACCTATCTATCTTGTAGATGTGAGGTCATTTCCTATACCCTCTGACCACCCAGGACCACTTCCTAGGCAAGTCAATGCAGTATCTAGTGAATTATGTTACACAGGTGAGCATCCATGTCACTATTTGGATTGGCCCAAATAAATCTCAGGTCTTCCTTTCCTCATTATTAGAACACTTAGGGCATTTCACCGTCCTCCCACTCCAAATATTTGGCTGTCACCCTGTCCCCTGCCCGTGATCACTATGCTGCTATCCCTCATTGCCATGGCAGTACCTATATGGAGCACCCTCTGAACTGGCAGGGTTTTCTTTTTGCTTATCTACATCGTAACAGTTGTTTAGAGCAGTCTTGGAGTTAGGACTTTTCCTATATGTACTAAACAAACAACAAATCATCTCTTTTCACATTAATTGTAGAAATTATCACTCCTCTTCCCATATCTCAGCCCACCTAACCCTGTTGAGTCTAAAGTTAAGTTTACCTGGAAGCTCAGAAGTTTACACTTGTGTACCCCTCACCTGCCTGACTCCTCCTACCACCCTGGTTAATGAGTGCTGTAGATTTAAACAGTGTTTAAAGTGAGTCACAACTTGTGAACATTTGAAATGGCCTGGAATCTTACAGCTCTTGCAGGAAAGGAATTTGATAGAAGTTTTAACTTTACAAATAATGAGTTGTAAAGCCAAAAGAGACTTTTATAAACTCTCAACAATGAAAGAAAAAAATTTCAATTGGCCATACTAAAGGGAAAACTGAGATATAGAAAGAATAGAAAATACAAATACAAAATTATCATATGAAGAGGTGGTCAAAGAGTAGACATGTAAGAAAAAGGTAGGACATGAAAATATTATAGAGGTGTATTGAGCACTTATTTACTACAAATCACTTTTATAACATGTATGGTATTTGTCACCTTAACATTTGCAACTTGTTGTGATTTCTCAATCTAAATAAACATTAATTTTTATACCTAATTTTGTATTCTAATTTTGTTTTTGTTTTCTTAATTAGTGTTCTCCAAATTGTATAAACTTCAAGATTCACAAAACCTGAATCCACACCTCATCTGATTACCACAAATCTTGCTGAACTAATCAAATACAAAATTGTAATAGACATGCACATAAGAACCTTTATTAATTTATTAGTGATTGTATATTTACTTGTACGTGGCTCTAAATTTCATGAAAGCAGTGCAACATATACTTAACATACACTGTAAGTCCAGTACAGATCTGGTCCATAGTAAATAGTCAGTAAATATTCATTAACTATTCTTTTTTTTGGTCCAAACACCATTATCTATAATGCGTATACAACACAGTATGGCCTCCCCGCAGCCCAATCAGAATTCGACATAAACATACAGTGAAAAATTTTTATATTTAGAATTAGCCAGCTGGACTCAGTTTAGATGATCCCAATTTTCTTGGCAACATCCAAAGCATCATAGTCAGGAGCCAGCTGAACATATGCCTTCTTCTCTCCATCAGGCCTGATCAGGGTGTTGACTTTGGCCACATCAACGTCGTATAGCTCCTTCACAGCATGTTTGATCTGGTGCTTATTGGTCTTGACATCCACAATGAACACAAGTGTATCATTGTCTTCTATCGTCTTCATGGCTGACTCAGTAGTCAGGAGGAACTTAATGATAGTACAGTGGTCAAGCTTGTTTTTCTTGGGGGCGCACTTCCGAAGATATTTGGGTTGCCTTTGGCCACAGTGTCTTGGGCCTTCAGAAGGTGGGTGACATGCATATCTTCTTCTTCTTCTTCTTCTTCTTTCTTCTCCTTCTCCTTCTCCTTCTCCTTCTTCTTCTCCTCCTCCTCCTTCTTCTTTTTTTTTTTTGTGGCTTTCAGTTCTGCTTTCTTTGCTCCCAAAGATTTTGCTTTGGCTTTGGCTTTGGCTTTGGGAGGGGCAAGGTCTTCCTTCTTTGCTTTCAGCGCCATCTTCTTGAAAAGCTCATTAACTATTCTTTATTGACTAGTCATTCTTTAATTTACTCAGCAATTATTTATTGAATATTTGGGACTGGACTGGGGACACAAAGTCATCCTCTGCCTTCCAGGACTTGACATCCCAGGGCTAGAACTAGCCATGAAACCGCTAATATAGGAGGCTATGTGTTGAGTATAAAAGGTGGCATACAGAGGGTCCTATGGGATCAAGTAGGAAGCACACCGAATCTAGCCTGCAAGATCAAGGTGAGCTTTCTGGAGAAGATGATGCTGTCTAAATGAGTCCTAGAGGAGACTGGCAGGAAAGGTTGCTTTAAAGGCAGAAGGAGGAGCAGATACCACAGCATGAACTTGTGAGATTGTCCCCAAGCTGCCAGAGTTCACAATGCCAGGATGTGCTGTGCAAAGACAGTGACAATGGATAATCTGGAGAGGAGCAATGGCCAGCCTTGGTCATTGCAAGACCAAGTGTGGGCTTGTCCTGAATACCTTGGAAGCCACCAAAGGGTTTTCAGCAAAGAAACAATATTGGTGGATTTGTCTAGAAAGATCCCACTTGTACGAGAATAGGTTGAAAAGGATCAAGACAGAAGGCAGAGAAACTAAATGCAGTTCTCCAAATGACAGGGAGGGCTCGAACACATGTCGTCCGTGTGTGTGTGTGTGGGGGGGTAGGGGGCGCAGGGTGTCTTGGGGGAAGATTCAAGAGATGTTAAGGAGCTAGAGTAGGCAGGACTTGGAACCTGGCTGTGGGGAGGTCAGGGAGACCGAAATCAAGCATGATTCAAGTTTCAGACTCCAGCAGCTAGGTAGGAACTAGTGAAACAGACCACAGGAAAGGAAGATGATGGGCATGTTGACTTTGAGATTCCTATGTACCATTCAGGTCTGGAGCTTAGAGACAGCTTTTTGGCTGGAGATGCAGGTTTGGGAGTTTTGGGCATATATAGTGATGGAAGCTGTGGGGCATGGGAATGGGATTATGGAGGAGACTATGGATTGGGAAGACAGGAAAACGTTACTATTTCACCCCTATTTTTTTTTAAAGCAAACATTTAAATCATCATAAGAGCCTTGTTAGAGATGCAGGGTGGGCACTATTATGACATCCACTTTAAAGATGAGATAGGCTCAGAAGGTTAAGTGACCTGTCCAGTGCATTTACTAATAGTCAACATGTCAGCCTGACTCCACTGAGGTGCTCTTCCACTGCATTCAGCACCCATTACTGCCTTCTAGCTCCACCTCCAAGGCTTTTTCCTTCTTCTCTCACTTAGGCCAGGCAGACGGCATTTCCCTCCCTCTGATTTGGAGTCTTTCTCTTGCAGAGCATATTCTTTCCACTAGTCATTAAAGGGGTGTGATTTGCCCCCTAACATTCACTAGAGCCTTGCCCATCCAGCCCCTAATCTTGGCACTGAGGATAGAGGAAGGAACCCTGAACGCTGATGGGATAGCAGGGGACTGAAACAGCTAGGACTAGGAGCAAGCATCAGTGGGAGCTGATAGGAGGGAGGGAAGGGGAAGGGCAGAGCTCACAACAGAGGCCAAGACTACCAGAAGGCAAGGAGGTGGAGAAAAGGGAGCAAAGAGTTTGGGGCCAGAGCTAAAAGGGTGAGGTTGGGGGTGGAGGGGTGGAAGGAGGGGAGATGTAGTGGGAGTTGCATTGTCCCAGCAATGGGAAGTCTTTTGTTTCTTCTCTTCCCTTGGCAGCCTGACAGGATATGAGGCCAAGCCCCGCCCCCCCCATGCCAGCATCTCCCCACCCGCTGGACCTGGCCCTTCTCTTACCATTGTGTCATTGACAGGAATGGGACAGGAGCTTTGCCTCTAGGAGAGAATATAAGAAGGACTATTAATGGCTGGGGGCTAGGCTACCAGGGTCTTTAAGGGACAAGAAGCTCCCAGGTTGGTTCATGGATCTTGGCAGGGAAAGCTCTGTGCCTAGGGAGGAGCAGGAAGCCAGGCTTGGGTGGGGCCGGCACAGAGGGTAGCGGATCAGGCCAGGGGGTTGTAGGTTGGGCCCCAGAGGAGATGACGCAGGGCTTCAGGCATCTCCCAGCCCCCACCATTCCAGCCTCGGGGCCTGAGAGCTCACCTGAACCCATGTCTCCCCACCCCCTCCATTCTCTAAGGTTGACATTACTCCCACCAAAGCAGTAGGCATCTGGTAGTGCCCAGCAAACTCATGTGTCCTGCCTGGGCCCTCCATATCCATTTCTCTGGATTCCCTATCTCCCTGGGATCTAGGAGTCTGGCCTCACCGTGGTCTTCCAGGAACCCTGAAATTTCATCCCT